CGTGGACGTTTTCTCGTTCAGTGTGGAAGGGGCGTCGCAAGTGAACATCACGATGACTCCGCTGGGGTTCAGCTACGCGCATCAGGCCTTTGGACTGGGTTCGACGACGATCCAGTCGGACCGCATTGGCGATCTTGGGATTGAAGTGCAGCAATTAGGCCCGTCGCTGGTGAGTTCGTCATTAGGCATCTCCAACGGCGGCGGCCTCGGCGCCGCTGAGACGTTGGACTTCACCACTACGGAGGCGGGTAGCTTTACCCTCCACGTCACTGGGATAACGAACGCGACACAGTTCTACCGGCTCGACCTAGCGGTCACGTCACTAGCCCTTCCGGGCGACTACACCGGCGACGGCCTCGTCGATGCGGCCGATTACACCCGCTGGCGGGACACGCTAGGAAGCACTACAGAGTTGGCGGCCGATGGCGACGGCAACGGCGAGATCGATGACGCGGACTACGACGTTTGGGCGTCGGCCTACGGGTCGATTTTCCACGGGGCAGGGACCTCGGCGTCCGGCGCGGTTCCCGAGCCGGGCGCCCTCGTGGGAGCGACGCTGGGCCTCCTTCTTGCCAAATTCCGGCGCCCAAACCGTTGAGCGGCACGGTGACGGCTGGTTATATTTAAACCACCTAGTGCGTGGGCCCGACTCTGATCAGGCTCCTAGGCGGCGTGCTAGGGCCTGCCTTTACCTCTCCCTACCGCTACCGGTTCGCACTGGCGCCCGTTCGTCATGGGCCGACGGTCTTCCGACTTACCAGATTCGATTTCTTGGTTGCTTCAAAGCACCCCTGAAAGCGCTGTCAGTTTTTCGCTTTCCGCTCCGCTCCTTATGCATCACACCTACTGGAGACGCTCATGAAGCAAGATGATTCCAACGCCACCGCTCGTCGGGCGGCGTATTCCATCGCCGCCGGCGCCGTCGTTGGCGTGACCGGTTCGGCCGAAGCCGCCATTAGTTACTCAGGTGTGCAAGACCTCGCTATTGCGCAGTTTAGCAGCCAGCAGCTCAATCTCGATGGCGACGCTTACAACGACATCCTGCTGAAGAATTACGTCTTCGGCGGCGGCAACTACCAAGGCGCCTACGTCAACTTTGCCCCGGGCAAGGTCGTCGGTTTTAGCGCCGGGCTCAGTTACGCCAGCGCTCTGTCTGCCGGCGACTTGATTGATGCCTCGACGACGAGCGGCGGGCCGTTTCAAGCATCCATGGCGTACGGCGGCAACAACCCTAACGCCGAATTCAACACCGCCAGTGGCGCGTTCATCGGTCTGGAGTTTCCCATTGGCGGCGTCAGCCACTTCGGTTGGGTCCGGGTGACCGTGGACAACGCCGCCGGCTCGTTTGTCATCAACGACTGGGCCTACAACTCGACACCCGGCGCCGGGCTGCTCGCGGGCCAAGTCCCCGAGCCGACCTCGCTGGGCCTGCTGGCCGCCGGCGCCGCAGGCGTCGCTGCGATGCGCCGCCGTCAGGCCGCATGAGACTCGACCGATAGGACGATCGAAGTTTTTGCATCGGCGAGCGGGGCTCTTGCGACCCCGCTCGCCGGTCGCCTAGACATGGACAAGAAGAGCATCGAGGAAGATTGGCAATGAGCCCTGTTAACAACGCAGAAGCGGCGAAGCAGCGTCGTGTCGCCTATTCGCTCGCCGCCGGCGCGACAATGTCACTGGTGGGCGCCGAAGCAGACGCGCAGATCGTCTGGTCAACGGTTCAGAATATCGCCATTGACGCCGGTGGCGCCCTGACGCTGGAGCTCAACGGCGACGATCCCTATTACTCCAATAGTGATCTGATCCTTAAGAACTATGTGTTCGACAACGGCCCCTACCAGGGAATGACGGTCCGTTACGCGCCGGGTCGAGTTGTCGGCTTTCGCGCCGGCTCCGGCAACTACGCTTACGCCACGGCCCTGACGGCTGGAGCGGTTATTGACGCGACGACGACCGGCGCAGGGGATGTCTTCTTCGGCTCGATGGCCTATGGCGAACTGAATCCAAACGCCCAGTTCAACGAGGCGCCCTCCGCTTTTCTGGGCGTAGGCTTCCCGATCCTCAACCAAATCCATTACGGCTGGGTGCGCGTCACCGTTGATAACGCAGCGGGCGTCTTCGTCGTCCGTGACTGGGCCTATAACGCTACGGCCGGCGCGCCG